CCCCCCCCCCCCCCCCCCCCCGGGAAGGGGGCGCGCCCACGCCACCCAATCGCCTTCTGCCGGCCGAACGCGCCACGGCGCCGAAGCCCACCCTGACGCTCCCGCCAATCAGGGCCTTCCTCCAGCCCAGCCCAGCCCGGCCTCGACCTCGCGCGCTTATGCCCGCCGACCGCCCCTCAAGTCTTTCAGCCAACGGGACAGCAGGTTTTTCCTTCCAGTGACCAATAGGGATCGGAGGCTTTGCCCTTCCTTCTTCCGCTTGTTTCAGCTGGGCCAATTGGGGGCCAGCGCGCGCCGCTCGGAGCCCGGGGAGCTGCTACAGGAGCTGCGACCGGGTAAAGTCTCGACTGGAGTGTCAGTGGTCGCGCCTCCCCGCACCATTACCGCCACCTCGGCAAGGAACGAGACGGCAGGGTTCTAGAAGAGCGTTCCTAGGTGATCCGAGGCGTCTCTTCGCGTTGCCAAGGAGACGGTGGTTCAAGAGCCCTCCCCCAGGATCGTGTTACTACGGCGATGCCCAGGTTCTGGAACCGCGTTGCCTAGCGGAGCGATGCGTGGGTGTTCCAGAATGCTTCCGAGGAAGGGCGGTCATCATAGACTTCGTTGCCGGGGAAACCGGAGAGACTGACAAGAACCTGCTGCTTGGGCGTGAGTGTAAATCCGAATTCCTTCGAGGACCCTCGTCTTCCGAGAAGTCGAGCCGATTCCAAGCCGGTCCGTCGAGAGTTGCATCCTCCTCCCTTTCTGAGGACGTCCGAAAGGCCTGGCTTCGCTGATTTCCGTGAACTCAGGAGCTGCGGATTGTTTTAAGGGCCACGGTGATTTATTTTCCTGCAGCAGATGCCTGAAACGCTCGTGCACTAGCGGCAGAGAAAAGACTTCTGCAGACTTCCAAAGGCAATTTGCAGAAACGGGTATTTGCACCCACAATGCGGGTCACGAGTCAGTTGGACTCAAAGAGCTCTTGAGGAAATTGTTCTTAAAAGTCCGAAGTCGACTTCCAGCTGCGGGTCAACCATTGGCTTTCTGGAGTTTCATGATGAGATGAAACCAGTTGCATGACAGAGGAAGCCTTGTTTTTTCTTTGTAATTAAGTCAATCAGGGTTAATATGAGGGAGGCGTGCTGATGGAAGTACCCCCAGCTGCCCCCTTCAGGTAGAGATGAGCCTGTCACTGCACAGCCTGTGCTCCGGGGCACTCATCTGGTTTTTGTAGCAATCTCGGTTGGCCACTGACCATATACTCTTGCATCCGGTGCCTCTGTCTTTCCATGTACAGATTTGCTGCTGTCACAGCTGAAAGTCAAGTCGGTGGCTTGTAGTGGAGTGAGTGAACACTGCAGACCTGCTTGTCATCTGACCGCTGTCTTGGAAGCCAGAGAGAGCTAGCCATGCTTTCTGAAGCTCTGCCCTGCTTCCAGTTACTCCGGATGGGCCCGGCCTCTTCTGGAGATTTGCCAAACCGGGATCTGTACACCTTCCGACCCGCCAAGCCCAGCTGCATTTATCGTCTGGGTCGCCGAGCTGAGGTTTGTGATGTCATTCTGGTGTCAGAGCAGAACCCAGCCTTGATCTCCCGGGTCCACGCAGAGATACACGCGGAACGGGATGCTGACAGCACGGCTGGGGAATGGCGAGTGGGCCTGGTGGACTGCAGCACTTATGGTGAGTTCCTGCAAATATTACGCTGCTGAATTCTGGCCTAATTGTTGCTGAGGTATCAAAGAGTTCAGACACTTCTTCCTAAACTTGTTGAACATGTGCAGGGATGGGCTTTTGAGGGTTAAGAAGGACTGCTTTTGAGGGCTTCAGAACAAAAATCCAAAAGTCAGAAGTTGAATAATTGCTAATACTAGTACAGGTAACATTTATACAAGGGGGCTTCAACCTTTTTGCAGAAATTGAAAGTTTAAGATCATTCCTGAAGGAAGAACACTACATTCCAAAAGGCCTGATCTGAAACGAACTGCAGTAGCAGTTAGTGTACCTAACTGATACTGGCCCATACACACTCAGAGGTTGAGAGGGAGACTGCAGGCTGCAAAGGAGTCGTGAGGGCCTCGTGGCCAGTGGGCTGTGAGTTGTCCATTCCTGTCATTAAGCATTTAGGTATCTTGTGTGAAGAACAATTTCCCTTCATAGGTCTTGCCCCAGGAGACTTCGAATCCTTGCATGTACAGTTCTAATGCACAGATCTGCTTGTTTGAAAAAGACGATGCTTTGGCTAGCTGACATTTAAGTAATACCTTTCCTCCTCTCCGATTATCCTTTCAGGTACATACATCAATGCCCTCCGCATGTCGCACGGCCAGCGGGTAGATCTGAATGATGGAGATCTTCTGACTTTTGGCCATCCCAGCCCAGTGCCTGAGGGCTGTGCATTGCCACTGCCTCATGGCAACTCCGAGTTTTATTTCCTCTTCCAGAAAGTCCATGTTCGGCCGCAAGACTTTGCAGCTATCACAGAGCCCAAAGCCCCGTGGGCTTCCTCCTCTGGTTTCCGGCCAGTGTTGCCTTCCGGCAACCATCGCATCCGTCCGCTATCCCGTCATTCGCCCACCTCCCTCTCTTGCCGCCCCAAAGCCACCCTCATCCTAAGCTCCATTGGCAGCCTTAGCAAGCTGAAGCCACAACCGTTCACTTTCTCTTTGAGCCGGAGCCAATGCACAGATCCTCCCACCCAGCCAAAAACATCCCGCAGTCGCCGCAAGTCAGTTCACACAGTGCTTCCTGAACTAGAGGATGAAATCGAACATCTTGAAGAGGAACAGCCACCCCCAGACAAGGAGCAGCGCTTGGGCACTTACCGGTGTTGCCAGAGCAACAATTTGCGGCTCCAGCAAAGAGGGCTGGAAGGGAGCAAAAACGTCCAGGAAGATGTGGGACCAAAGCTTCACATCACACCGAGTGGGTGAGTCCCTTTAAAGTCTATGTCAGTGTTTCTCAGCCTCAGCAACTTTAAAATGTGTGGACTTCCAGAATTCCCTAGCCAGCCATGCTGGCTGGGGAATTCTGGAAGTTGAAGTGCAAACATCTTAAAGTGGTTGAGGTTGAAAAACACTGGTTTGTGTGATATGCAACCTTGCTGACGTCCAGTGGTGGTAGTTTGCTGATCTGAAAGAGAAGAACACATTTTAAAGCCATCTTCCACTTTTCATCTGGATGAGCAAGCCATCTTCTGTAAGAATCCTTACGTAGAAAAGACATCCTTAGCAGAGAGATGCAAGGCTGAGATGTCCATCACTTAAAAGGTCCATAGTTTAATTTCTGATGGTCTGCAGTTCAAAAGATTACAAACTGCAATGCTGGGAAAGATCTCTGCCTCTGAAGCCTAGTAGAACAGCTGCTTGTCAGAGCAGACTGAAAAAAATGATGCTGAAACAAAGCAGCTACTGAACGTTAAGTACAGTTCAGTTTCATTGATTAAAATCCAGAGAATTATGAAAGGACTTTGAGAGGCCAAGCCTAGACATTCCTTCACCTAGCAGAGCTAGCGTGCTCTCTTTCCCTTTTCCGTGTACATGCCGTCAGTGGTTTTCCAGATATCAAAATGTTGATGGCTGCTGAACTGGCCTATAAATGATGGTGTGGGGAACCAAACTTAAAAAAAAAAAAAAAGGCTATACATGTAAATTATACTCAGTTCT